TCTATTTCACTGATGGCCTTTTGCTCTCTTTGCCTCTCCTGGGTTTTGTATGATTCTTGTAGCTTCCATTCAATTGTTTCTATTTCTCTACCTAACCTTCTTCGCCGTTCTTGAGATAGGGTGCGACTCAAGTTGTTCCTCGATTCGTTTTCTTCGCCTATACAGTATAGGGAACGACGTTCCCGTTCCAATCTGCATCTCTTCCTCTTTTTTCTTAGAGGAACCAACCACAAAGGACTGACACTTCTGTTGTCAAAAAGGGCCATCTATGGGTTGTGTTGCCAAGTGGTGGGGTCTTTTCCAACCGCAGCGAGTTAGACACCCGTCAGTCACAGAGCACCTGGGCCTCTGACATCATGGGCATAATTGTTCGGTGAGTTTATAAAATAAAACTCCAGTCATCAGTGTTTATTTCTACTGCTTACCAGCAGAGTACATACCACAAGTAACCAAGCAACAAATGGAGTAATACTACTGGTTCAAGGCGCCAAGATATAAGGACTGATACATGGAGTACAGGACACTATCACAGACGGTTCATGAACACATTTGAAAATTTAACCTAACCCAAACTAACATTACATAGTAATATTCAGTATGTGGTTTTAACAATTACAAAAACAAGCTGTCAAAATGTCTGTGTATGATTTGACAGTACCCCAATACAATGAGCCACAGTGAGGCAGAACTGGCACAGGGAGCCACAGTGAAGCAAAACTGGCACAGGGAGCCACAGTGAAGCAAAACTGGCACAGGGAGCCACAGTGAAGCAAAACTGGCACAGGGAGCCACAGTGAAGCAAAACTGGCACAGGGAGCCACAGTGAAGCAAAACTGGCACAGGGAGCCACAGTGAAGCAAAACTGGCACAGGGAGCCACAGTGAAGCAAAACTGGCACAGGGAGCCACAGTGAAGCAAAACTGGCACAGGGAGCCACAGTGAAGCAAAACTGGCACAGGGAGCCACAGTGAAGCAAAACTGGCACAGGCAGCCACAGTGAAGCAAAACTGGCACAGGCAGCCACAGTGAAGCAAAACTGGCACAGGGAGCCACAGTGAAGCAAAACTGGCACAGGGAGCCACAGTGAAGCAAAACTGGCACAGGGAGCCACAGTGAAGCAAAACTGGCACAGGGAGCCACAGTGAAGCAAAACTCTCACAGGGAGCCACAGTGAAGCAAAACTCTCACAGGGAGCCACAGTGAAGCAAAACTGGCACAGGGAGCCACAGTGAAGCAAAACTGGCACAGGGAGCCACAGTGAAGCAAAACTGGCACAGGGAGCCACAGTGAAGCAAAACTGGCACAGGGAGCCACAGTGAAGCAAAACTGGCACAGGGAGCCACAGTGAAGCAAAACTGGCACAGGGAGCCACAGTGAAGCAAAACTAGCACAGGGAGCCACAGTGAAGCAAAACTGGCACAGGGAGCCACAGTGAAGCAAAACTGGCACAGGGAGCCACAGTGAAGCAAAACTGGCACAGGGAGCCACAGTGAAGCAAAACTGGCACAGGGAGCCACAGTGAAGCAAAACTGGCACAGGGAGCCACAGTGAAGCAAAACTGGCACAGGGAGCCACAGTGAAGCAAAACTGGCACAGGGAGCCACAGTGAAGCAAAACTGGCACAGGGAGCCACAGTGAAGCAAAACTGGCACAGGGAGCCACAGTGAAGCAAAACTGGCACAGGGAGCCACAGTGAAGCAAAACTGGCACAGGGAGCCACAGTGAAGCAAAACTGGCACAGGGAGCCACAGTGAAGCAAAACTGGCACAGGGAGCCACAGTGAAGCAAAACTGGCACAGGGAGCCACAGTGAAGCAAAACTGGCACAGGGAGCCACAGTGAAGCAAAACTCTCACAGGGAGCCACAGTGAAGCAAAACTCTCACAGGGAGCCACAGTGAAGCAAAACTGGCACAGGGAGCCACAGTGAAGCAAAACTGGCACAGGGAGCCACAGTGAAGCAAAACTGGCACAGGCAGCCACAGTGAAGCAAAACTGGCACAGGCAGCCACAGTGAAGCAAAACTGGCACAGGGAGCCACAGTGAAGCAAAACTGGCACAGGGAGCCACAGTGAAGCAAAACTAGTACAAGGAGCCACAGTGAAGCAAAACTAGTACAAAGAGCCACAATGAAGCAGAATTGCTACACGGAGCCACAATGAAGAAGAACTAATACAGGGAGCCACAGTGAAGCAAAACTGGCACAGGGAGCAACAGTGAAGCAAAACTGGCACAGGGAGCCACAGTGAAGCAAAACTGCTACAGGGAGCCACAATGAAGCAGAACTGCTACAGGGAGCCACAATGAAGCAGAACTGATACATGGAGCCACAATGAAGCAGAACTGCTACAGGGAGCCACAGTGAAGCAGTAGTAGTACAGGGAGCCACAGTGAAGCAGAACTGTTACAGGGAGCCACAGTGAAGCTCCCTGTAGCAGGACAGGATAGAGAACTGCTAAACGGAGCCACAGTGATGCAGAACTGCGACAGGGAGAAACAGTGAGGCAAAACTAATGCAGGGAGCCACAGTGAAGCAGAACTGCTACAGGGAGCCACAGTGATTCAGGACTGTTTCAGGGAGCTACAGACGCACGACTGGTACAGGGAGCCACAGACGCACAACTGGTACAGGGAGCCACAGACGCACAACTGGTACAGGGAGCCACAGACGCAGGACTGGTACAGGGAGCCACAGACGCAGGACTGGTACAGGGAGCCACAGACGCAGGACTGGTACAGGGAGCCACAGACGCACAACTGGTACAGGGAGCCACAGATGCAGGACTGGTACAGGGAGCCTCAGACGCAGGACTGGTACAGGGAGCCACAGACGCAGGACTGGTACAGGGAGCCACAGACGCAGGACAGGTACAGGGAGCCACAGACGCAGGACTGGTACAGGGAGCCACAGACGCAGGACTGGTACAGGGAGCCACAGACGCAGGACTGATACAGGGAGCCACAGACGCAGGACTGATACAGGGAGCCACAGACGCAGGACTGGTACAGGGAGCCACAGACGCAGGACTGGTACAAGGAGCCACAGACGCAGGACTGGTACAGGGAGCCACAGACGCAGGACTGGTACAGGGAGACGCAGAACTGATACAGGGAGCCACAGGCGCAGGACTGGTACAGGGAGCCACAGACGCAGGACTGGTACAGGGAGCCACAGACGCAGGACTGGTACAGGGAGCCACAGACGCAGGACTGGTACAGGGAGCCACAGACGCAGGACTGGTACAGGGAGCCACAGACGCAGGACTGGTACAGGGAGCCACAGACGCAGGACTGGTACAGGGAGCCACAGACGCAGGACTGGTACAGGGAGCCACAGACGCAGGACTGGTACAGGGAGCCACAGACGCAGGACTGGTACAGGGAGCCACAGACGCAGGACTGGTACAGGGAGCCACAGACGCAGGACTGGTACAGGGAGCCACAGACGCAGGACTGGTACAGGGAGCCACAGACGCAGGACTGGTACAGGGAGCCACAGGACTGGTACAGGGAGCCACAGGCGCAGGACTGTTACAGGGAGCCACAGGCGCAGGACTGTTACAGGGAGCCACAGACGCAGGACTGGTACAGGGAGCCACAGACGCAGGACTGGTACAGGGAGCCGCAGATGCAGGACTGGTACAGGGAGCCGCAGACGCAGGACTGTTACAGGGAGCCGCAGACGCAGGACTGGTACAGGGAGCCACAGACGCAGGACTGGTACAGGGAGCCACAGACGCAGGACTGGTACAGGGAGCCACAGACGCAGGACTGGTACAGGGAGCCACAGACGCAGGACTGGTACAGGGAGCCACAGACGCAGGACTGGTACAGGGAGCCACAGACGCAGGACTGTTACAGGGAGCCACAGACGCAGGACTGGTACAGGGAGCCACAGACGCATGACTGTTACAGGGAGCCACAGACGCAGGACTGGTACAGGGAGCCACAGATGCAGGACTGGTACAGGGAGCCATAGACGCAGGACAGTTACAGGGAGCCACAGACGCAGGACTGGTACAGGGAGCCACAGATGCAGGACTGTTACAGGGAGCCACAGACGCAGGACTGGTACAGGGAGCCACAGACGCAGGACTGGTACAGGGAGCCACAGACGCAGGACTGGTACAGGGAGCCACAGACTCATTACTGTTACAGGGAGCCACAGACGCAGGACTGTTACAGGGAGCCACAGACGCAGGACTGGTACAGGGAGCCACAGACGCAGGACTGGTACAGGGAGCCACAGACGCAGGACTGGTACAGGGAGCCACAGACGCAGGACTGGTACAGGGAGCCACAGACGCAGGACTGGTACAGGGAGCCACAGACGCAGGACTGGTACAGGGAGCCACAGACGCAGGACTGGTACAGGGAGCCACAGACGCAGGACTGGTACAGGGAGCCACAGACGCAGGACTGGTACAGGGAGCCACAGACGCAGGACTGGTACAGGGAGCCACAGATGCAGGACTGTTACAGGGAGCCACAGACGCAGGACTGGTACAGGGAGCCGCAGACGCAGGACTGGTACAGGGAGCCACAGACGCAGGACTGGTACAGGGAGCCACAGACGCAGGACTGGTACAGGGAGCCACAGACGCAGGACTGTTACAGGGAGCCACAGACGCAGGACTGGTACAGGGAGCCACAGACGCAGGACTGGTACAGGGAGCCGCAGGACTGGTACAGGGAGCCACAGGCGCAGGACTGTTACAGGGAGCCACAGACGCAGGACTGGTACAGGGAGCCACAAACGCAGGACTGGTACAGGGAGCCACAGACGCAGGACTGGTACAGGGAGCCACAGACGCAGGACTGTTACAGGGAGCCACAGACGCAGGACTGTTACAGGGAGCCACAGACGCAGGACTGTTACAGGGAGCCACAGACGCAGGACTGTTACTGGGAGCCACAGACGCAGGACTGTTACAGGGAGCCACAGACGCAGGACTGTTACAGGGAGCCACAGACGCAGGACTGGAGGACAGTGAAGGCTTACCTGGAGATCTCTGTGCTCGGCGACAACATTCTCACTACTCCATCGCACCGCCATGGCTCACTCCTCTTCTGTACATGAACCTCCCTCTCTCTCTTCCCTTCCTCCTCCTCCTCTCTGCCACACATCCACTTGGGTGTTGTGTTCCCGACCCTCACCAGCCTCTCAACACTGCCAGCGACCATACGTCCCAGCCACCATACGTCCCAGCGACCATACGTCCCAGCGAACATGCCTCCCAGCGACCATTCCTCCCAGCCGACGGCCATGCCTCTCTCTCTCTCATCCAGTTTAAGAGAAAACTAAGTACTGTACTACCTAATAAACTCCGTGTAACCTTCCTTACCTCCTGAATGGCAACCTATGTTCTGCTACTTTCAAACAATATTGATTATTGACCAACTTGTTTAACTGCTCATATCCGCCATGTATAAACTTAAAGAAAATTGTAGTTTTCTTGTTATTTAGCTAAAATTACTTCTGCTGTACTGTTATAATTTCTGCTGTTCCATTCATCATCCAATTATTATCGTTCTCTTCTTTTCAAGAGGAGCCACACATCTATGGATCATCCAATAAAATTAGCAGACTTCTAGATGTTACTACTGCTCGGCTTAGACTCGGTTACAAGTATCTCTTTGAATTCTCATTATCTGCCGATGTAGACCTGACCAAATGTAAACTGTGCCAACAAAATTATTCGCACACCCTCCGTCACTATGTGATGGAGTGCGAAAAGATACGTGAATTTAGAGACCAATGTTCCAACGATGTGTAAATATTTCATTCAAAATTATCTGCTACCAGAAATTTTAGCTAAATATCCGCAGTTTGCTAACTGTAGGTAGTAACTGAGTGATTGTAACCTATCCACCGCTGCCTACTGGATGGGGGGTGGTGTGCAGGACAAACATAAAAATTGTGACACTAGCTCTCCACATACCTGGTTGATACCTGGTTGATGGGGTTCTGGGAGTTCTTCTACTCCCCAAGCCCAGCCCGAGGCCAGACTTGACTTGTGAGAGTTTGGTCCACCAGGCTGTTGCTTGGAGCGGCCCGCAGGCCCACATACCCACCACAGCCCGGTTGGTCCGGCACTCCTTGAAGGAAACAATCTAGTTTCCTCTTGAAGATGTCCACGGTTGTTCCTGTAATATTTCTGATGTTCGCTGGTAGGACGTTGAACAACCGTGGACCTCTGATGTTCATACAGTGTTCTCTGATTGTGCCTATGGCACCTCTGCTCTTCACTGGTTCTATTCTGCATTTTCTTCCATGTCGTTCACTCCAGTACGTTGTTATAGTATCTCGCAAGTGTTCTGTAGCGAGTAGATTATCCCAATAATATACTCGCTACATTATTTTACTGTGCAGATTTGGGGCCTGACCCTAAAGTATTTTCCATGTGTATATTATTTGGTATCTCTCTCGTCTCCTTTCTAGTGAGTACATTTGGAGAGCTTTGAGACGATCCCAATAATTTAGGTGCTTTATCTCGTCTATGCGTACCGTATATGTTCTCTGTATTCCCTCTATTTCAGCAATCTCTCCTGCTCTGAAGGGGGAAGTGAGTACTGAGCAGTACTCAAGACGGGACAACACAAGTAATTTGAAGAGTACATCTGCCTAATGTCTCTAACATTCTGAAACCTATTTTGTTTGCTGATGATACTACCCTCATCTACTCTAACCCCAGCCCACATACACTAAATAATGTTGTTAATAATGAACTAAAAAAAGTCCACTTATGGATGTCAACCAACAATCTAACACTTAACATAGAAAAGACCTACTACATCTTATTTGAAAGCAAATCTACAAATGCAATTCAGCTTCAGATAGACAATGTAAACATTAGCAATAAAAATGATGGAAAGTTTCTTGGCCTATTTCTAGACAAGAGACTCAACTTCAGCACCCACATACAACACATAACTAAGAAAGTCTCTAAAACAGTTGGTATACTCTCCAAAATCAGATATTATGTACCTAACTCTGCTCTCATCTCTCTATATTATGCACTAATCTATCCCTATCTTATTTATGGTATCTGTGCATGGGGTTCAACCACTGCAAACCACCTCAAGTCCATCATTACCCAGCAAAAATCTGCTATCAGGATAATAACAAATTCTGCTTTCAGACAACACTCAGCCCCCTTGTTTAACTCCCTAAACATGCTAAACATAATCTCACTCCACAAATTCTCTTGAGTCAACTACATTTACAAAACCCTGTTCTTAAATGCAAATCCTGCTCTGAAACTCTCCCTGGACAGATGTAATAGGACCCATTATCACCACACCAGAAATAAATATCTCTTTTATATCCCCAGAGTCAAACTTAATCTGTGTAAACACTCTATGCAAATAAAGGGACCCAGTCTATGGAACTCACTCCCTATTGAATTGAAAAGCTGTCCAACTTTTACGTCATTCAAAAAAATACTAAAACGTACCTAATTTCATCTGCATAGTTTTTTACCTTTTGCTTTAAAATTGCACTGTATCTATTGCTACCCAATCTCCCAATCTTTATGTACCCAATCCGAACATCTTTACCATTGTGACCATTGCTGTCTTCTTATATGTACTGTCAATCTGCTGTATGGTGTCTATTAATCTTGTTTAATTTACCAATCAAGCTGTCAATGTAATTAATCTGAGCTTTAATATACCAATGTGCTTTAATATACTTATTAATCTCTCTCATCTCATTTTTTCTTGCAATGTATTTGTTATCATTTTATTAATTCTGATAGAATTTACGTACTTAAAATTATCTGTTAGATTAAGGACCTGCCTGAAACGCTGCGCGTACTAGTGGCTTTACAAGAGTGTAAATACTGTGCTATGTATTCTCACAAACCCAATGTACCTTCTTGTATATAAATAAATAATAAATAAATAAATAAATAAATAAATAAATAAATAAATAAATAAATAAATAAATAAATAAATAAATAAATAAATAAATAAATAAATCTGCTAACAGTTTAAATCCAAACAAACGCCTCCAACCACTGGTTCCAACGAGTTATCTTGAGGTTATCTTGAGATGATTTCGGGGCTTTAGTGTCCCCGTGGCCCGGTCCTCGACCAGGCCTCCACCCCCAGGATGCAGCCCGTAACAGCTGACTAACACCCAGGTACCTATTTTACTGCTAGGTAACACGGGGCATAGGGTGAAAGAAACTCTGCCCATTGTTTCTCGCCGGCGCCTGGGATCGAACCCAGGACCACAGGATTATAAGTCCAGCGTGCTGTCCGCTCGGCCGACCGGCTCCTAGAGTTCGCAACAGTAACAACCCCAGCCCTCGATAGATGCACCCCATCCCGAGCATACATTTAATTTCTTCCATAGATGTGTTCCCAGTTATCTATGAAAGATATTGCATATCATTTGCAATATCTTTCCAGTCGGCAATTGACACCAAGTGCCCTCGACAACCATTCATTTCCCACCCCCTTTCTTGGAAGAATGCCACATATGATCGGGATTCCTCCCTTGCTCCTAACTAATTCTATGGCTGTTTTATACCTCTGAATCAGTTCTTCACTCCTAACTCGACCAACATCATTTCCTCCTGCGAAATGATGTTGGAAAAGAGCGCGTCCATCGTGGGATGACCAAGTTGGTCCAGCAAATTAGAGACCTGTCATGTGGGGCGGGGGGGGGGGGAATTGACGGGACTTTTTTGCATTCTCTGGAAAGGCGAGGATTTGGGTGGGGGGGGGGGAGCGTGATGAAGATGTGCAGGTGAATGGGTAGACATAGCAAAGGGGTGTTGATGGGGGAGGGGGGGGTATCAACACAAGACTGCATAAAACGGTGGGTGTAAGAGGGGTAAGTTTGGAATTAGGAAAGATCTGGGTGAGTGCTGGTTCGGTGACAGGGTTGTTGATTTGTGGAGCCAGTTGCCGCGTGGCGTAGTAGAGGTGGGGGGGGGGGACCTTTGATTGTTTTAAGCGTGGGTTGGACAGTGTTATGAGTGGGATTGGGTGGATATACATGGGAACTCCCTCGTGTGGGCCAGTGAGCCTTCTGCGGCCTTTTGCAGTTACCTTAATTCTTATGTTCTTAGGATAACTCTCTACATCTCGGGCGACATACAGGTGTAGAACCTCACGGGCTATTCATGCTCGTGCCACCTCTTGGGTGCCTTAATCTTCATCAATCAATCGGTACAGAATCAGAGCGACAATGAACAGAACAGATCGGGAGACATCTCCCGTCACGCAGGGTGCAGTCGCACCTCCACAGATCTCCAGTATCAGCTCTTGATACTGGTAATGGCTCAAAAGGGCCACCACTTACGGGCTATTCATGCCCGTGCCACCTTTTGGGTGGCTTAATCTTCATCAATTGGAACAGAAGAGGAATGTGCTAAACACGGGGACAATCTCTCAGCCCCCAGGAACAACGTAAGGAGTTTAAATGGTTTCCACACAAATGCCTGAAGCCTAGTAAATAAATCTGACTCATTCTGTGAGTATGGTGAGGCTGAAAATCCCGACATCATTGGCATCAGTGAAACATGTGGACGAGAGGACACAGTAGAAGGGGGAATCCTATCTCCCGGGATACCACCCAACTTTCAGAAAGGACAACAACAAGAGCAGGCGGCGGGGTAATGCTGTATGTGAAAGAGAATCTGGATGCAGTAATGAGGAACTAAACACCATAGAATCCTCATAGTCAGTATGGTGCAACTTACTACTTCAAGATTCTACCTACTAATTCCCAAAATTAGAAATCTTTCATATGAAGAAAGATAGGCGTTCTGCAGTTATCTTTGTTTTTATGTTCTTAGATGGTAGCCAAATGACAGTGGGAGCGTGTTACAGGGCTCCTCGTCGTGACCAGCCAGCGGTCGTGTGCGGTCGCAGTGTAAGCGCTCGTGGATATTGTGAAATTGTGCTCAACTGTTACAATTATACAGTGCATTTGTGCGTTGGGGAAATGGCGAAGGCGGTCTGCCTCAGTGATAGACAATCCTGTTCTAGGACTAACGATTATGAGAGTGAGGATGACTTTCAAGTACAAGGTGATACCAGGCCGTACCACGTTGCAATGTCCAGAAAGAAACGGCGTAGTTTTCATAGACAGCGAGACAGTGATAGTGAAGAGGAAATGAAAAATTGACAGAAAAATTGCTGTGATCCACGACAGGAGAAACCAGTGGTGCAA